TTCCTATTCCAGATCCTTGTTTTGATGAAGATCCATCTACATATAGTTTCCAAGTCTGATTCTCTGGTTGCTCCGGTGTGCCCAGCACTGGTAGTTCGGTTAGGAAATCTGCCAAAACTTGAGCCTTCATGCTGACTCGGCTTTTATATTCTATATCATATTCACTTAGTTCCACTGCCCACTTCGCCAATTGTCCGGATTGTTCTGGACTATGAAGTATTGTTCGGAGCGGCTGGTTGGTTAACACTTCGATTGGATGAGATTGGAAGTATGGGCGCAGCTTCCGGGCTGAAGTTACTACCGCAAGTGCGAGTTTTTCCATCATTGTGTATCTTGTTTCTGGATCTGTCATTGACTTACTTATGTAGTAAATCGGCTTTTGCTCTCCACGGTCCTCCCGGACCAAAACTCCACTAACTGCATGTTTTGACACTGAAACATACAAATAGAGCTTCTCGTCCACCTCGGGTTTAGACAACACTGGTGGAGTGGTAAGGTATGCTTTAAGTTGTCCGAAAGCTTCTTCACACTTCTCATCCCAAAGGAAACCTTATTTCCCTTAAGAATTTGATAAAAGGGTAGAGATTTGTCCGTTGATCTTGAAATAAATCTGTTTAGGGCTGCAATTCGACCAGTCAGACGCTGTACTTCCTTGAAGTTCTTCGGGGATGGCATGTTTAGAAAGGCATTAATTTGGTTTGGATTAGCTTCGATTCCTCTTTTTGTCACGATATAACCAAGGAACTCTCCGGATGGAACTCCGAAAGTGCACTTCGCCGGGTTCAGCTTCATTTGATATCGGTTGAGAATTTCAAAACACTCTTCCAAATGCTTAATGTGATCCTCTTTTTTCAAAGACTTAACCAGCATATCGTCTATGTAGACTTCCATTGTCTTCCCGAGATACTCATGGAACATTTTATTGACCAATCGTTGATAAGTTGCACCTGCGTTTTTTAAACCAAAAGGCATTACTTTATAACAATAAGTACCTCTGTCTGTGATGAATGACGTCTTTTCTTGGTCTTCGGGATCCATCATTATTTGATTATAACCCGAGAAAGCATCCATGAAAGTTAATAACTCATTCCCAGCGGTAGATTCTACGAGCCGGTCTATATGCGGGAGCGGAAAACTATCCTTCGGACATGCTTTATTGAGATCGGTGAAGTCGATACACACCCTGTCTTTTCCATTTTTCTTTTTGACCACGACAGTGTTTGCTACCCACTCCGGGTATTGTACTTCCCTTATAGATCCTATTTTTAATAGTTTGTCCACTTCATCATTTACAGCCTTTGCTCGCTCTACTCCGAGTTTCCTTCTCTTTTGTTTCACAGGCTTAAAACTTGGATCTACGTTCAATTTGTGGCAGATTATGCTTGGATCTATGCCAGGCATATCGGCCGCTGACCATGCAAATGACGTCTTATTTTTCCTTAGAAGTTCAATCAAAGCTTCTTTTATTTCGCCAGTCAAAGTGACTCCAATTCGGACTTTCCGATCTGGTTTGTCTTCTTCCAATGCTACTTCGATTACTACATCGTCTTCTTTTTGCCCACTAGGAAATCTTGGAATTTCCTTCTTCGCAGGTTTCGTTAATTGCTATTGGATCTTTAGTCGATGACTGGTTAGATAACACGTTCGCGAAGCTTCTTGACTTCCTCGAATTGTTTCCACTCCACTAGGAGTTGGAAATTTGATGCATTGATGATACGTCGAGGGAACTGCCTTCATTTGATAAATCCATGGAGTCCCAAGGATGATGTTGTAGGCTGCCGGTTTATCAAAAACAACAAAATCTACTATCTTTGACACGTTTTTGGCAAGAACTGGCAGCTTGATCGTCCCGAGAGACATGGCCGATTCGCTTGTGAATGCCACCAAAGGAGACGGCGGTCCTACTATGTCTGCCCGACTGATTCCCATCCTTTCCAGGGTACCTAAAAAGATTAAGTCGACCGAACTGCCCGTATCAACGAGAATTCTCGAAACTTCGAAGTTGGCAACGTCTAAGGTAATGACTAGGGCGTCATCATGAGGCCTTTCGAGGTGACATGTTTCTTCTTCGTCAAATGATATTAACGTGCCTTGAAAGTCCATTTCTTCGCCTAAATTCGCTTTAAATAAAACATTTCGCCTATGCTTCTTTATGGCATTGATCGTATCCCGACAAAGCTTGGAACCTCCAATGATTACATTGATTTTTCCCTTCGAACTTCTAGGTTCTTCTTCGTTGGATTGCCTAGGTCTTTTTAAATTCTGATCTTTAGGGGTATCCTTTGCCTCGTGATATTCTTTCACGAAATCTTCTATCTTGAATTTAGAAAGATCTCCACTGGCCCACAGCTCTGCGAGGTGCTTCTTGAGGACACTACAGTCTTTGGTTAAGTGTCCGGTTACCTTATGGATGTCACAATACAAACTTTCGTCACGGACCCAAGTGTTCGACCTTCCTTTTCCTTGAAATTGTTTCCCGACGGTATTGTTGAGGGGTTGCGATCCGAACTTTTTAGGTCCTTGGTTCTCTCTGGGCTCAAACTTTTTGGTAGGGAAAGTGACCGCTGGTTTTGCTTGTTTGTTCCTTTTCGCAAAACTCTCTTTTTCGTCCTCTACTTCCATCCAGTTATTTGCACGGAAAAGTGCGTCTTGAATTGTGTCTGGTTTGTGAAGTATTAGGTCTTCTTTGAACCTTGAGTCATGCCATAAACCTTTTCGTAAAGCGGATAAAGCTGACTGCTGCGAGATTCTTGGGAGTTTTGACAGCACCCCTTTGATTGGTGATGAAAGTTCTAAGTGACTCATTTGGCCCTTGTGTTAGATTCCAAAGGTCAGCATCCGAAACGCTTTTATCCATGAGGATAGAATATTGTTTCAGGAATACAGCCGATAACTCGTCGAAGTTACTGATTGAGCCTGGTTCTAGCTGAGTGAACCACATTAGTGCTTGACCGCAAAGGTTTTCCGAAAAGAGTTTGCAGTATCCTGCATCTTCATCAGCTTCATCCAATTCGACTCTTCCAGCGGCAATCAGAAAAGCTGCGAGATAGCTCTTTGGGTCTTCTAGTCCACTGTACGGATCCAGTTTGAGTTTCCGAGAATCCTTGATTCTCAAATTTGCAATTCGCGGAATGAAAGGAGTTCGCCTAGCTTCCTCGATGACTCGGTTGATGTCCGGCTCCGAACTGGTGGCCTGGTGGAACTTTGACTTCATTTCTTTCAGTTCCTGGCTAACCTTCCTCATGGTTTCGAGCTGATCGAAGCTCTCTTGATCATACTGATCTACAAGCTGATCTTCATCTCCGAGCTGCGTCTCTTCTTCCACATCCGGTTGAATTGTTGGGTTAGAAGTTGTTTGTTCGTTGGTTTCATTTCGTGCACGGGAGTTCGGCGTACTGAACATGCTTCTTCGGACTCCCACAGTGTTTCCTGCACCTAGAGAACGAACACGAGTTTGAATAGTATTGACGCTTTGACCAAGAGATACCTGGGTTGTTTTAAGCGTCTCCACAGCTTTTTCCACATCCGAGAACTTCTGCGACATTTCTGTTATGGCTTGTTGCATGGTCTTGAGAGCCTCGGCTACTGACGAATCAGGGATGCTTGCTCCAGACATTGCTGCTTATCTCGGAAATGAGAGAAATCTGACAACTCAAGAATCTTCTAGATCCCCACAGGCGGCGCCAAAATGTGGATGTCGGATTCGCACACTTGAATATTTGTTTAATTAGTGGGAATGATTATTCTTGAGGACAAAAATATGATGAAAAAGCTATGAATAGGAATGACTATAGTGTATTTGCTAGAAAAATTGCGTATCTTTTACATGGCTATTAGCCCTCTTATTTATATTGACAAACGACATTTAACTCTCAATTAAACACAATTATTCTCTCTTAAATGCGTCCGTTTTGGTCTTCGAGTTTTAATGCCCAACGTTTGAATTTGAATTGATTCCGATCTTCATGGGCTTCGCCTTTTGGCCCAAGTTATCCGACTTCGATTCCGAGTCATATCCCGAGGTGTGACCACTCCGGGCTCTCTTTATGGTGACGCCCACTTCGATTATACCCTGTAAACCATGGGCCTAATGGGCCTTATCCTCTGTGGGCCTTTATCCTGATTACATGGCAATCTTTGGTTGGTCCCGGTCTACTGGTGCGGGATCCGACACCAACAGATTATATTTCGTAAAGGATTTATATGGCGGACGAATTTGAATCAATATTTATATACCGCTTTAATACGGGTTAAATCTTCAGTTTATTAATAATTGTCTCGTGGACTCGTGGTATACCGTTACTTAATAACAATCGTAAACTATAATATAAATAAATATGTTATAAGGATATACAATTTACAAAATATTTTTATACTAACTTTAAAATTAAATTATCCCGCGGTGTACCGCGGGTTAAAATCTAGTTTGCACAATAAATTTGCAGTTTTCAACATGTTGTAGATTGTAAGAACAAATTTAGACAGGTTTACTTTTCTTATATTTGAAGACATAACTCTGGAAAAGAGACACATAAAATTTATGAGCGTAGAATACGAGATATAATTAAAGTTACATGAAAAATGATTTGCTTCTATCAGGAATTTGTCTTCGGTTTATACATTGAAATAATTGCACACAGACTTGCATATCTTCTTTACCCTCTCTTCCTAAACGACCCACATTTCAACAAAAGTAATAAAGCTACTGTCTCTGGTAGTTAGTTCTACTCATTTTTGAAATACCAAAGAACAGAGTGATCACAAATGGACAAAAAGAAAAGAAAAAAATGAAAAGAACTTATGAATTACCTCTACTTTGAAACAAGTTTGATGTCGGATTACATTGAATCCAAGTCGTCGTGTAGTGGGAGCCATATCAAAAGAAAGAAAAAAATAAACTGCTTTGGAGTCTGCTGGAGAATGGTAAGAATGGATCAAGGAATTTCGTATCTCTCTGGGTGAAAAATTACAACCCGAAGATCCTTGAACCGCTCCAATTTACTCACAATACTGTTTTGTTAGTTGCTGTGCCAATAAATTGCAGATTGCTGGCTAGTCGCTTTCACTACTATGTCTATCTGAACATCCAAAAAAGGTTACAATTAGCTTTCATAAGAAATCTATAGACAGATTCTTAGTCGATTTGCAAAATAACGGGAGGGAATGTAAGTAGAGTAGGTACCTCCCGATGATCTTTTCCCTTCCATTGCGTCTTTCTTATCTTGGCAACTTGCGCAAAGGAATGGACCATCCCAGGGACGAAGCTTACGGCAATTATCTGACCCAGCATGGATCGACACACCTTCTCCAGGTTTCACTTCTACTTGACACACAGCACACATAAACAACTTAAACATATTGCAAAGCGGGTACTTTGTATCTAATCTGAAATAAACAGAAAAAAAAAGAGTTGATGAAGATTAGTAGATCGAAATAAGCCTCTCAAAGTGAAAATTTTCTATATCATATTATATTCTTAAACAAGTATATTCAAGGAATCATACCTCTCTGAAAGCATAGCAGAGCCCTCTTCAAACAGTTCTTCAACTACATCAGGTTCTGCATACTCTTTCTCGATATTAGAAGAGGAGTCAGATGTTTTTCTTTTGAACATGGACTTTAGCATTCCTTTTCCTTGCTTTTTTGGAGGTGGCACGGAAGCAGCCGGTTTTTCTAGTGGCAATATATCAACAACAATACAGGTTGTATCATCACGAAGACCTTTTTTACCCACAGCTTCCTGTATGAAGTAATAAAACATCAAGGTACTACAAAGGAAAGAATATGTTATATCAGTAAATAAAAATTCAGATACTATACTTTAACGATATGCTCTGCGGAAGATTCAGGTGGCAAACCCCGGCAACAATCAAGAGCCTCCTCAGCAGATATTGCATCCCACACGCCGTCACTTGAGATGATAAGGCGACCACCAGCTGAAGACAACTACATAAGCAAAATAAATAGATACAGTTTTCAGTATAAACTCAATACATAGAATGTCAGCTAGTGCTATAACCGCACAAAGATAAAAGTTAGATTAGATTTAGTTATGAGTTTTGCACCTTGACTTGCTTTACATAAGGAACTGGAACAATGTATTCGCCAACATCCAGATCTCCAATGGATCTTGAGAGACACAGACCACCAGGCCAACATCTCAGAGGACCAATCTAAAAAAAATGATTTAGTTATTAAAACTCTTCAATTTGACGGCACAATGATATTTCCTATGTGTTACAATCTACACAGCTACCATAATTTGACAGGCTAAATGCTCATGGTTCATTAGCTAAGTATGTTACAGTTTTCATGCTACAGTCTGGCCAAAAAATCCAACTGTGAAACCTCATCTTAGAAGTTTCCATTCAGTTGCTTTTAAGTTATTATAAATTGCTAATATCAAGAGCGCATGATAACATGAGACTTAATGCACACAGAAGAAAGTATCAAGTATTATCTAAAGAAGTACCTCAGTACCACCACCAGTATTTAACCGACCAACTTCACCACCACTTGCAGTGACTCGATCTCGCCTGATAAAAAAAAGCCAAAACATTGTGATATTAATATATAGTTATATACAATCACGATTATCATCAGTTGGGTGAATAGCAGGAACAAAACTGACTTACTCTTCTTCGTTTATTTCAAGCCGATGATCAGCAGACAAATAATACACACCGCCCTCAGCAGGTTCAAGTATGCAACGAGAGTCACCTACAGATGCAACACTCACCACCCATCCTTCTACTATGACAAAAGTTACAGTCGTTCCAGACGTCCTTGCTGAAATGCAAGAAACCAATAAAACCTCAAACATAGCCTTCACCAGAATGATATAAGAATATAAATAAAGAGACAGACGAGTTCACACTTTGGACTTGAATCACATCACATGGTTTTTCATTGATAATAAAAAAAATTCGGTTACACAATTATAAAGAGTTCCTACCTCTTTCCTGGAAATCTTTATCAGTTTTCACAAATCCTGCAACCAAAGCCCTAGGAAGTGCCGCAACCCACTCATCTCTGTTAAGATCAGAGGGTATTGCAGCTAATACATTGTTCAAGAGGTTCTCCTTAGTGTAGATAGCTGCTGCAGAACCATTGTGTCCATCAAAAAGCTGCAATATACAATTCAATGTTTAACTAGAAATATCAATACCAAAGATTTAAGATGGCATGTAAATCCAATCATTACACACAATATGCGAGTAGATACAGAAATGTAATCCCTTAAAACATTTTTTAGGATGCCGTACATTGCAGGACAATTCAGATCTCAGACAAGACAAACACAAGTTCATGGACTATGTTGGCTATATTGCCATACTGCAAAAATGGCCATCATCCAATTCTCATAAGACCACAATGCAAGAAGAGGAAAAAATTACCCCAAAAACCGAGAAGGTAGTAACGCCATCTCCCATAACCCGTTGACACTCTGTTTTAACAAGAGTAAAATCCTCTCCTTTCTTGCTCTGATTAGCCTGTCCGTGTATAAGTTCAGGATTGTCTATCTTTTCATTAGCTGATTCACGCTTAAGCAACACCGAAAGTGGAACTGTATGATGTTCTCCCTTAGTTGACATTGTTTCCCAAATATCCTCTAAGCTGCGTCTAGTTCTTCACCAAATCTCCCAATCATACAAAAAACCTGATACACAATCAAAAAAAAAGAATCAGAACCTCTAAATTTCTGAATAATCTAAAACTCGATTTCTAAGTTAGTCAATAATTAAACCAATAACAATGTATAGGTCCAATATATACTTCTACAATTACAGTAACATTCCGATCTACATTGCGGAAACAAACTCAAAAACGATCTAGCCGAAGAAAACATCAAATCAGATCTTCAAACCAAAAGTTCAAATTCGTCGCATTATATATTCAGAATCACAATGCGTCTTCAAAACTCTCCTTCACGGATAAATCCAGTTTTTAAAAAAAAAAAAAATCGAGAATGAGCACAAAAATCAAAACGCAAACGAATGATCTGGAAATGTGAAACATAGATTATTCATCAAAAGAAGCGATAAGACTCTAATCATCTAAAACTCTCGATGATGATCACATCGAGCGAAGAAACGAAACCAATGGGGGAAGATTAAGAGGAGAAGCGTTTTACGATTCGGATTTGCAATTAGGCGGCGATTGAAGAAGATGGAAGATTATGCGAAGAGAGACGAAGGAGATGAGTCATCGTCCGATCGAAATTCCGGCGAAGTGGAGAAATGCCATGGTTTCAACAGCCGTAGGAGAGAGAGAGAAGAGAGAGATTAGAGAAAACGCGCAAAGAGAGGAAGGTGAGGTCTCTTTCTTCTCTGTCTCTTTTTTATTTGTTTTTCTCTTTTTTTTTTTATTAATAATAATAAAAAAAAACAAACAATTCCGCCGTTCTCGCAGCAATAAGCACCGTTATGTGTTTTTATTCGGCGCTGATTGAAACGTTGTCGTTTTCAGGTCTCACGTGGTCGACCTGGCTTTAACATCCCCCAAATCTCGGATTATCAACACCAAAATTCAACCCCATATACGTCGACAAGTTATACATTTTTTTAGATTTAGTACTGAAAATGACTTGGATCTTGAAATGTACTATATTTTATGTTATGGTTTACAATAAATTAATTTCACATTTGTGTGTGAATTCTCACAAGAATTAGGATATTAAATAGAACTATAGATACTTGTCCTATACTTATTTTGAAAAGAAAAAAAAAATGTTTGTCATTGTGAAACCACGTAACCAGTAAAATTTTTTTGTGTAACTTGTAAGTATACAGGATATCAGCTTTTTCATACCCCTATAACTGTTTTATGTTAAATTTATATATAAATTATACTTAGGTCTAGCTCAAAAATATTTTAGACCTTGTGCCCACAAAAAAAAAATTCTGAAAATGTTGATAATACAAAAATTTATACCTCTACGTGGTTTTGTTTTAAAGAAAATTAACTTTTTCATACCTCTACAACAGCAATATGTGAAATTCATACATGAACTATATATTATTGTACTAAAAACATACTCTAGCTAAATAATGAAAATTTTAAATTTCATACATATACTTCATGTTTCGGTTTAAAACAAACATTCCAAATCACAAGCTAAAACGACTCCGTATTGTATTACTAAAATGAATCTGACTTGTTTTGGTTCTATATTCTTCTTTCTCTCGAGTGAGGCATATTCCTGAGATAAAAACAAATACAAAAACCTGAACCGAAACAGATTTGAAAAACTTGCTTCAGGTAGGTAATGGGTATAACCAAATTACCATATTGTGTCTTATAAATGTTTATCTATGGGTATCGGTGCGGGTGCATATAATACATGATACCTGAACAGATATCCGAATATCCAAAAATTTTGACTCAATTATACCTCATACTCGAATGGATAACTGGTAATCGAAGACCACTTTGACGAGTATCTGAATATATATTTTTCGAGTATTGTGTCCTCGGCTATACCCAAAATCTAGCAAAATACTTGAAATTTAACTCAAATCCATGAAAAACATACAAATCTAGCTCTAAATAAATATTTTAAATATACGTTAATGCAAAAAATAAAAATAATAATGCTTAGATGGACACTTTAAGACCATATTTATCGGAATAACTTATTTGGGTGTTCTTAGGGTTAATTAAGTATTAAAATAATGTAGATAGAAGAACAGTTCTTGGACAATAACAGTTCTTGGACAAGAACAGTTCTTGGGTGTTCTAAGACCATTTTCTTTTATTTTATTATTTTTTTAATGGTAAGAACATGGGATAAGTTATCCCCTTGCATATGCCCTAAGAGGAGAAAAAAACTCTTCCATTATGTAATGACTTTTAGTGGCACAAGTAAGTAAATCAACGTGGAAGAAGCTTTCTATGCTTTTGTGTTTAGCCCGACATCATATACTAGTGTTAACCATATTTTTCCTCGATTTCTGTGGAACTTTAATCCATCAATATATACATTTTAGAGAAAACTCTTTGGCTTCAATGGGTAACCATAATTTAAGAAAAGAATGAGAAGGAATGTGATATTCCTCTTTGTTCCTCAATATTTTTAACATTTACAAATAATATTTTTTCCACATCATTCCTCTACATTCCTCACCAAGAAGAACACTAGAACAAAAATGTTCCTCTCCAAAATTGATGAGGAACAAAATGGAACAAAAAAGGAATAAATATTAAAATTCGTTTTTATTTTAAAATAAATAAAAAATAATGTTTATCAATAATATTTGTATTTTATTATATAATAATTTTCATATCTTCACAATATATTAACAGAAAAAATATTTTTGATAAAAATTTCATGCTGAATTACTCTTAGGACTTCATTTGAAAATTATATATAAATAGTAAAATAAATTTAAAAATGTTTATATTATAAAAGAATAATATATTTTAAATTATTCTTTCAATTTTATTTTATTTTAATATTAAATATTATAATTTAATATGATATATATAAATTTAGTTCACAAATTTTAGTATCAAATTAAATATAAAATTTTCAAATTAAATATAAATTAGTAATTTTCATTGAAATTTGATTTATTTACTATTTAATATATCTTTAAAGTTATTTTTATTGTTTGGTTACCATTCATCATAATAGTACATTTTATTCATTCTCTGCATCTTTTCCTTTTCGTTCCTCAAAAATTGTTTGTTCCATTCCGCATTGTTATTTTTATTCGTTTTCTTTTTGTTCTTTTAATGGTTACCAGTCGGATCCTTTATTTTTTACACTATTTACAAAGAATGTCATTGCTTATATCATGTATCCAAATAATTTTATCATAAATTATTTACAACCATATAACCAAACCTAATTAAAAGATTTTAACATTAATTACAAATTAAAAAATATTTCTATTATGTTTCACATTTAATAATATAGATATTTAGAAGATTTGGTTAAAATTTAGAATTATGATTTTTCTATCATTTTTGTTTGATTTTTTAATTATTTTGAATCATTATAATATATAAAGTTATGAAAATATCAATTTTGTTCAGCATGTTTTGTGATTCAAAATTTTAAAAATGGACATATATTATTCAATTATTGAAAAATGTATGTTCAACATCCTACATGAGCTAAAATGTTTAGACAATGACTTAGATTCATATTATAAATCAGATCAAAATGAATCCAAATCCGAATGACTATGAAACTTAACTTAAAAAGCATCCAAATTTTTGTATACAATTTAATTAGTTTTTTAGTTAAAATTTTAATTTTACTGGATATAATAAATTTTAAAAATTTAACAAGTTTTAAATATTATAATTGATATATTTAAAATAAAAAAAATAATATTATGAATAATTGAACATATAAAAAAATTAAAACAACACATGACGAATTATATCGCGGGACGGGTTTGGTTAATATTAACAAATATAAAATATCATTAACCTGCCGTTTTAATACGGGTTAAATCCTCATTTTTAACACCATTAATAATAGAGATATCGAATCAGCCGAATTTAGATAAATTGTATAAAACAAAATTGTCTGCGGTATACATTTACTTAATCACAATTGTAAATTATAAAATATAATTTTTTAAAAATATATAAATTTTACAAACCTTTATATATAATAAATAATCAATAAATTTTAAAAATCATAAATTTTAGAATATAGTGTACATTGGGTCTAACAATCTACTATACATTTTTGCAACACTTTTAAGGGATCCTAATCGGGTCGAATTTTGTATCAATTTTGACCCGGAAATCTTCAATCCGATCTTTCCTTAAATGTTGGCAAAATTTAAAAACGAAATTATTTAATAAAATCTAAAAATATATATATTCTCAACTAATTACTATACATGAACTCTTTATTTATGGCATATTCTCTACGATTTTTATAGATAAGGAAATCAAATATGATGATTTAATGCTAATATAACAAATTTGAGCTAATTTCCTAAAACATCTCTACCTAATTTAAACATAAATATATGATTCTCATTTCACTTTTATATGATCTTATATTTATATTATTTTGAACTATTATAAAATTTATATAGTTAATAAAATTTTCGATTTTTTTTTGCAATATGCTATGATTTAAATATTTTAAAACAGACATATATTACTCAATCGATAAAGAAAAAAAGTATGTGTACAATCTATATTAACATTTTTTAAGAACAAATTTTTTGCCCGTTTAATCAGGTCGTATTTTTTTTTTTTACTCTGTCCCGGAAATGAGTCATTCGGATATTTCTTTAATTTTTACAATTATCCAAAAGGGAACAATATACCACGGGTAAAATCATAAAATTAACAAATCAAAATACAATTATTTAGTATTTTAAGATACAATTATAAATTATTTTTACGGGTTGGTCCAAAAACACACACTAATTTAAAAATATATATATTATGGAAACTATTTGAAAGCAAACTTTTAAATTGACTTGAATTATATGTCTTTTAAATAAAAGTGTTATTAAAAGAAATACAAAATGATGTTTAATTTTACGGGAAGGGATTATATGGTGGGACGGGTTTGGATTGATATTAATACGGGACAATATATCACGGGTGAAATCTTAGGATTAACAAATCAAAATACAATTATACAATTTTAAACACTAAACAAAACAAATACAACTTAAAATTTCTATTTTTTAGTTACAACGCATGTGATCCGCGGTGTACAACAAAAAAATATTATATACAACAAATTCATCAGTTTATAAAAAGATAAAAATCAAATCAAATAATTAACCCGCGGTGTACCGCGGGTCATATTCTAGTTTAATAGTGTTTTGAAAGATCTCAAATCTTTTGGAGATATCTTTTACTAACATTCTGTTGAAACCCTAATTAGGAAAACCTTAATATAAAAGAGTCGAACGTGACAACCCAAAACTAGAAAAAAGAAAAAAGAAAAGAAGAGATAATGGCTCCTGAGGAGAGCTTCCGTGTGACCTGAACCTGATTGAAGAGACGCTCTCTCGTATCCCTCCTGAATCTCTTGTTCGCCTCAGAACTGTTTCTAAGAAATGGAACGCTCTTTTCGACGATAAGATGTTCATTAACAACCACAAAATGGCTCATGAGGAGAAGCTTCCGTGTGAACTGATTGAAGAGACGCTCTCTCGTGTCCCTCCTGAATCTCTTGTTCGCTTCAGAACCGTTTCTAAGAAATGGAACGCCCTTTTCGACGATAAGATGTTCA